AGTTACTTAGAAAGTAGCTTTCATATTTTCTAAGCTTAGGCAAAAACACGCACTAGATTTTGGCACAAATCGATTCTAGAATCTAGGAAGGGTTTTAGAAATTTATTAATGGTGGGACTCAAGGACAAAATGGATGCTTGTGAAGAAGCAGGAAGAGAGAGAAATACTCCTAAAAATTTAGACAATATGCTCAGTAATCAACATACCACACTAACGCGATCAGCAGCTAATTCATAATATCGGAGAGTAATCTCACTAGTAGCACCCTGCAAGAGTTCATTACGGAAGTCGCCTGTTAGATACGTGGCAACTTGCTCTCCATCAAGAAAAGCCTGCAGAAAGTAAAGATCTTCTAGATGAAAAAAACTGTTCCAATGGACCTTGATAATATATTGTAAAGCCAATAAGAGAGAGGCATACACTTCTGAAGGCAGGGAAAATATATGCTATTCCTAGAATAAGCAATCTCTAACGGGTTGAGAATATCATAAAAAATTTAAAGGTCTCATGATCAGAAACCAAAACAATTGTGATCCATTTTATTTTCAAGTTAACAAGAATATGCAGACTTTCTTCAGGATTACATACGAGGTGCCTATATATATAGAATGCTGATCTTACTGCATTTCATGTATCCCTCGTGATTTTAGCAGATACCTACCCCAACCTCACCACCCCACCAGCGAGTTGTTAGTGTGGATGTGTCACCTATTCTTTAGCAGCTCTATCAACACTCGATGGTTTGTGCTCTTAAATATATAGAGTCAGCATGGAGGTGAAGACAGATCTGTACCTTTAAAGGACGAAATACCTGTGATACATATGGTGAATGCCTAACAGGAAGAGGTCTCTGATCCACCCTATACGTTGCAGTTATTCCATTTAACTGTTGCAAGTCCTACATAAAATTTTGCACACGTCATGTCCCAAATTAACTTTATCAGGTCAATTTATTGTCCATGGTTAAGCTGAACAAAAGCATGTTCGGTTGAGCACCTTTTAAACATGCTAATAAAGTCCAAGGAAGCTTATTAGAGTAAAAAGTTGGATAAAGATGGCTTTCCTCGGCTGAATTTTCAATTAATGTTTTTATTATTAAATTAATTGCAAGAGGTAGAAGAACTTTCGGGGAATTGCTGCCCTGCAAAATACTCTTGCCTTAATTGAAACAAGTCACACAAAGTGGGGGCAAGAGCACAAACTAGATGCAAAATTCAGCCACCTCCAGCAACTTCAACGGAAGCTGGCATTTTTTATTGGATAATGCTGAGCGTACATTGGGTATCACATAACAATGTCCATAATGGTGAGCTGGCAGATTTTGAATCCAATTTCTCGTGACATTGAGATACTGTTGTATATTTCCAAAACTGCCCTTCATCAATTACACAAACAACCCCTTCACATATTAAACAGGTTCTGCCGGGTTTCATTTGAAACACTCACGAGACGAAGTGGATCGGACTCCTCCAACAAATCAAATCTGTACTCCACCACAAATCTGACGCCCTGGGGGAAAAATACGAAGTGGAGTACTGACATTTTCGTGAGAGGCGAGCGATTCATGTGGAGAACATTTTCGTGAAGGTAACGAGTGGAACCCAGATCTGAAGCTCAGCTTTCTGTCATCTAAATCTTCGACGTCGAGCTCAGCTTGACTGAAAAAAATGTGAAGTGGAGTACGACATTTTCGTTTGGGGTGAGCGATTCATGTGGAGAACATTTTCGTGAAGGAAACGACTGGAACCCAGATCTCAAGCTCAGCTTTCTGTCATCTAAATCTTCGCCGTCGAGCTTAGGGTAAGGGTTTGATTTTAGAGGAAGTTGAAGCTCAGTTTTCTTTCAACGAACGTATTCCGTCGCGGACAGAAAATTAGGATTTTTCCCCTTCTTTGCTCGATTTTGAAAGGAACTCAATAGGGTAAATTGCTTTGAATATATAGTATATTCAGCTCAAACAGAGCAACCTTTCAGTGAGTACAACAAATCTTGTAACTATTGTGTTGGGTTAAATTTGTGTAGGACAGGTAACCAACTAATATTGAGGGTTTTTTTCTTTGGTTTATCAGCAGACTTGTGTGAACTAGAAGTATTTCAGTGTGTGTATCTTGAATACCGGATTGCACTGTTGTTTTACAGTGTGTATTTTGAATTGGGAGCATTACAATGTGCGTATTTTACATTTCGAATTTTACAGTGTGTATTTTGAATTGTGACTATGAAGTTATCGTTGCTACAGTTGTGTTGATAAATGGCAGGAAAGAACAGGGGTGTTTGTCACAGCTGTAGACAAAGTGGACATCGGTTGCCTGAATGTCCAGATAAACAACGATGCCCGAATTGTGTTGAAGGAATTGTGAAGCTAATGGAGGTGGAGAAGAATACAAAAAATATAGGCCGATTATTCATGTCTTGTACTGAAGATTGTGGATATTTTGAGTGAAAGACGAAAGCCGTGGAAATGGAAGGTCAGTCGAGTGGTGATTGCGGTGACAATCAAGCTATAGCGCCTGTTCAAGACTTATTGCATATGTTCAAAAGTTTGGGAAAATTGAAGATCGAAGAAGATGATGTTGAGATTTCATTCAACATAACTGTGCGAAAGGGAAATCGGAAGATAAGGGAAAGGGAAAGGGAAAGGGAAAGGGAAAGGAAAAGCGAATGGAATAGCTAGGTCGTTTATGGTTAAAAAACTTGTGTAATCCGATCATGTTATATTATGTTTCAATTATGTAATGTAAACTAAACTTGAATACAGCCAGTCTTTATTTGAGAATATTGATATACTTTCTTCCTGTTTCCCAGCATCAGCTGCATTGCATCATACTTGATCACACTGAGTTGAAATTTACATTGAGGGAACTGTGGAACTCTAGCGAGTCACATATAATCATGTTCAGAGTTAAAATTCGAGCAATCATAGGGCTAAATTTCTATTTCTTCTGAACAATAAATATGTTGCTGACATTATTTGTGTGGAATGGTGCAATTGTTTCCCTTGTTTCAATTGCACCATGCAATATATTCTGTTTGAAAAAGAAATAAGTTTCCAAAAAACAAATCCTGAAAATGCATATTGATAGATAGCATCAGCAACTCCGTCTTCGTCATTGTTAATAACCATGTAAATACACACTATCGTAACCACCATAATACAAAAAAGTTGCAGGACTACTCTAAATACAACAAATACGTACAAAAGTCCCACACGGCTGCTTCAAGTACAAAAAATACAGACTTCCCAAGGATGGTATGAATACAAAAAATTCATCTACTTCCATCCCAAAATGCAAAAAATAATGTTTGCTGCTGTAACTACCAGATTGCAAAAAAAAAAAAAAAAAAAAAAAACAGCAATTTCCCACCATTTACTAACTTCATACTAGTTCAACGCTATCTTGTGTCCCAACAGTTTGCGGTGCTTGAGAAGATGATACGTTACAAACTTCCAAGTCTTCAACATCTACGATGTTTGTAATGTTGACTTCTAACTTATTATAAGTTCTCGAAACTGTGGACTTCATAGCTATCTGTACATGAGGAAATTTATAAGAAAATTATCAAAAGTGTCAAATGCATATTGAATAAAAAAAAATGAAAGAAAACATCGACTATGATTAGCAAAGGCAGACACCTTTTTATAACCCTTCGATTTCTTTGAACTCCCTTCCAAGAAACTTTTTTTGCGAAGTTTTTTCGGCGCACCTTTACTTTTTGTACAGTTTGGGTCCAAAATGTTTGGACCGTTCACATTGCTCAGTTCATTCCCATGTACCTCGACGATATTACATTTCGACTTAGCCAATTTGCTTGTTTGGAACTCAATCCACCCCAACAATTGTTTGGACTGTTCTTCATTTGTCGCAACCATGTCCGCCATCTTCGTAAAAGCCACACACAATTGCTCATATCTCAACTGATCTGCAGTACTAACCAAACCATCATACATGGTCGAGACCTGTACGTATGGTCTACAAACATCCCGCCTCCATCTCCTCAAAACATACCTCTCAGGGAGCGTGGAGACATCATCCCGAATTAAAACTGAGATTGCATGCTTGCAAATAATACCGCGAAACTCAAACAAATGACAATTGCACTCAATCCCATAGTTATCCCCACGGTAACAAACTGTAAAAGTTTTTTTCTTCTTTCCTTTTTCAACAATGATATCCTCATGAACCTCGTACTTTGTCACTCCGTTAAATTCTTCCGCGGATAGTACATCACAATAAACCTTTTCTGTAACTTCTTGTTGAAACTCCCTAAATTTTGTTATTGTGTACACTTCTTGGAATTGTTTCTCCATATCGTACTTCGTAGCACACGGAACCATTTGTGAGAACGATCTAAAATCAGCTTCGAATTCCTTCTCAACTTTCCTCCTCAACGCACGCTCGTATTGCTCCACAAACAGCTTTAACGACGTTTTTTGAATGTACATAACCATCGAAAAAAGCATTCATGCTCTCACTCCGTCGGGTGGTCGACATGCCTGCCCAGAATGTGCTTCTCAAATAGCATGGCACCCAACGACTTCTTTTTTTATAGATGCCTGTCAACCATATATGATCTTGCAATTCGAAATGTTCAATCATGTTCATCCAACCCTCCTCAAAATCCTTACAACTTAGTGTATCATACACTAACTCATGTATAGCATGAAGTATTGACCCTTTTTCACCATGGTAGTCGAACTTCTCAGGCAATTTCTTCAGAATATGCCACAAGCACCATCTATGCCTAGTATTAGGGAAAACTATTTTCAATGGCATTTTGCATAGCTCGATCTTGATCTGTAATAATCCCACTGGGAGCTTTACCATACATACATTCAAGCGATGTTCTAAATAGCCAAACAAATGTATTTGTATCTTCGTTCAAGACCAAAGCACATCCGAATAGAGTTGAATGCCCATGGTGGTTCACCCCTACGAAAGGAGCAAACGGCATATTGTACTTGTTCGTAAGGTAAGTCGTATCAAAAGTAACAACATTTCCAAATTCCTTATAAGCTTCTCTACATCGATTATCTGCCCAAAACACATTTCTCAACCGACACTCTTCATCCAAGTCCATACTGAAATAAAAACCTGGACTACATGCTTGCATTTTCGAGAAGTACGCCTGTATTGCAGCAGCGTCCCCTTCCCCAAGTCTTAAGCGGCGCACTTTCTCAATGAAATTCCTGCAATCTCTCTCAACACATGTCATATGCTCAAACCCATCTGCCTCTACAATAGCTGAGCTGTAGCTTTTATGCACAGGTATTTCTACTCTATCATTCACCTCAAGGCGTCTTTTAATGCGTTCACTGACTGTTCGATTGCATCTATACAATCTAGACTTAGTTGGGCTTGTTTTATGGTTATGCTCTAAATGAACCACATTTATACGCCATATTCCAGACATATCAGAACACGCAGTCAACCTGGCTTTGCACCCTGTTTGAATTGTAGGTGGCGGCTTCAGAGAAGTACTGTTCTTACGATTTCGTCGACCTTCCCGACTACGAAATTTTTAAAACGTATGATTTAAAAGTGATATCACGCAGAAGGAATTAGACTTTATGAAGAAGTGTCAAGTGTTTAGAGATATTTTGAGGTTGTTCGTTTTTTACGAAGTTTTAATCAAATTTGATCGAAAATGGGCCAATGAACAAAACACAAGGGATTTGTTCTTGATGTAAGCCCAATTTCGAGTAAATTTATTCATTTAGGCCTTCGTTTAAGTGCTTTTTTCATTTTTGGTCAATTTTGTTTTGGTTATATCCTTTTCAATTTAAGTCCAATTTTAATTCTGTTTGTTAGAGAATAACCCTTAAGATTAGGAGTTTCAATTTTAGTCAATATCTCAAATTTATTCATTTTTGGAAAAAAAAATAAATCATCTTTCCTATAATCTTCCGTCGCGTCAAACAATTGTATGATTAATGAAAAATGTTGTTAATATTAATTGTTTGACTTTGACTTAAACTAAAATCATATTTTAATCCGAACCAAACAAAACTCTTATTTTAACATTTTAATTGAAAACCAACTTGTTAGGTTTAGAAACCTTGACAACAATTTTTATAAATTTCATATACCTAATAAACTTGCTTCTAGGGAGATTGGTATATCTTTTGAATTAGATCCAATAATGAAAATTGAGAAAATGATACTCATAGTATTAGTTCTACAAGGAAGGATGGGGGACAGATTAGACCACAACTAATTGTCATCGGCCCCAATCTTTTCTGATATTGGATAGTGTGGATAGCCGTATACGATGACAAGCAAAGTGAGCGCTTTACCTTTAAGCTAGAGTCAACCCCCACAAATGCTCTACCTCTACGCTAGACCGTCGATCCCACGGGCGCTCTACCTTTACGCTAGAGTTGACTCCTATGAGTGCTATACCTCTACGCTAGACCGTCGATCACTACAGGTGGTTTACCTCTATGCTAGAGTCGACCTCCATGGGCGCTTTACCTCTATACTAGAATCAACTCCCATAGGAGCTCTACCTCTATCCCCACGGGAGCTCTACCTCTAAGCTAGAGTCGACCCCCACGAGCGCTCTACCTCTACGCTAGAATCGACTCCTAAGGGCGCTCTAACTTTACGCTAGACAGTCGATCCCCACGGGCGCTTTACCTCTACGATAGATCGTCGACCCCCAGAAGCGCTCTATTTCTACACTGGAGTCGACCCCCATGGACGCTCTACCTCTACACTAGATCGTCGACCCCACGAGCGCTCTACCTCTATGCTAGAGTTGACTCCTACGGGCGCTCTACCTTTATGCTAGACCATTAACCTCCACGAGCGTTCTATCTCTACATTAGAATCGACCACATGGGTGCTCTATCTCTACACTAGACCGTCGACTGGGGAGAAAGCCCGCCCACGTTTTTTAAGGTAACATTCGCTCAATGGAATAGCAAGAACGCTTCACGCCACCGGGTGGATACGGAGGTACTACTCCATCACTACTACATTTTCCATAGAACTACTGGTTCTAGCCCAATTTTTTATATTTCAAAATGAAGTTTTAAAGTATAAATCATTGCCTAAGTTTTATATATCACTTTCACGCCTTATATTTTAAAACAATAAAATTCTCAATTAGTACAAATACATTTAAATCTATATAAATTACGACTTTCATTGGGAGATTACAAAAAAATAATAATAATAAAAAATAGCCAAATAAATTTTTTGTTCTGTAGGTAGAATAGAGAATCGGATCAAAACCGTTTCGTTCTCGAATCTGAGACTTACAATCGAATTGATTTCTAATTCTATCATGTTCTTGTTCAGATCAGGAAGTTTTGGATAAGACAATCCGCCCCTACTAGCTTCCATTTAGAATACATTTGAAATTAATTATTGTGTTAATTTTCTTCATGAGACCATCCAATTTAAGGTCCGTAACTCATTAACTAAATATAGAAATAGATAGAAATGACTAATTTTAGTTGACCGTGCAATTTTTAAATTAGTTGCGCGTACTAAATTGAATATGAATAAAAAAAAAAAAGCCATATTGAAATTTATCAACTTTGTTTGATAACACTTCTTTACATTACAAAGTGGGTCAATTTTAATTTTTATTTTTTAATAACGCATATCATTGATCACGACTTTTATTTATTATTTAACTATATAATTCATAACATCCATCAATTTATAATTTCGAAAAACTTTGTCAAATAGAGAATATTTTTGTGTTACCAAGTTGTGACGACTGAAATATATAACAATTTATTTTTGTATAATTTCTATTCATTTTAGATTTATGCATTTCATAAAGTAATCCCTCCCTAAAATGCTCTAATCTATAGTGACCTATTTATATGATTGCCAAAAAAAAAAAAAAAAACATATACATTACCGTTTGCGCCATCGCCGGCAGCGTTTGTGTTAGAGAAGGTAAAGTCATTTGGTGTTAGCCCATCCATTGTCGGTGCTCTCCGGGTTTGGACACCGTTGGGTGAGAGCGTGGAAAGTGAAAAAATGAGACGCCAGGGTTTTATATTTCGAATTTGGGGGTTTTTTTTCTCCTCATTTCGTGAGATTTTGAATGAAAATATCGTCAAAATATCGTGGTTATGGACACCCTTATGTGAACTGTAGCGTTCTTGTATCAGTGTCCTTTTTTATTACCCTCCCCTTCACTTTATGAATTTTTTTTTCAAACACTTCGAAAATCTCTTCCATCTGCATCAGCTCTAGATGAATGATAAAAATGTTGCATAAGCCAAATTCTCCTTTTTCACCAAATATGATTTCCCGCAAACATTTTTTCACTCCAACCCTCTCCAGAGTAAGGAGATCTCCCTTGCCTTCATTTCCACTTTCAAGCTGTGTCTAATGTTTCCCATATTTACGTGTTTCAATTATGATGGTTTCACATACGCCATTTTGATTCTTAAATGTGTCTTCCTGAATTACATATGAACACTTGCATGATTATATCACCGAAATGAACCTACATCTCTCTAATTGGAAAATATTAATCAATCATGCCAAACAAACCATGAACAATTTTTCAGTAGCTAATTATTCATATTTTTTAGGCATTTTCATTCCTAGAAAGATGTACTTAGTATAAATCAGTAGTCATGATACGAGAAAATTTTAGTATAAATCAATAGTCATGATACGAGAAAATTTTTATATAAACATGAAGATAATCCTTAAATGATAAGGAGGATTATATCACCGAAATGAACCTACATCTCTCTAATTGGAAAATATTAATCAATCATGCCAAACAAACCATGAACAATTTTTCAGTAGCTAATTATTCATATTTTTTAGGCATTTTCATTCCTAGAAAGATGTACTTAGTATAAATCAGTAGTCATGATACGAGAAAATTTTAGTATAAATCAATAGTCATGATACGAGAAAATTTTTATATAAACATGAAGATAATCCTTAAATGATAAGGAACGGAATTATAATACATCTAAAGGACTGGATAAGAAATCTTGACAATTCATTTTGCACAGACATTATACAGATGGTCTGAGAAAATAAGATACATACATAATGCAAATCTTCTGGGGGAGCAGAAATAGCCCACTCTGATCCAGATTTGGAACCTGCCCGGCTTTGCGAGCATCCAGTACAACTGACAACCAGTTTGAGAATCCGTAACTTAGTTAAGGACTTGTATATCAGATCATGATGAGTATCTTAATGTGAAATAGACCGCAGTATTCCATTGCTTCATGAATTCTATATAGACTGCTTCTTCCCGAAATTTAGAGATTGCAAATCTAGAGGGACAGACCTAGCATGACAATGTAGAGTGTTACAGTAAGGCAGGCATAAATGAGAAAATGGTTAATGAGCCAACGACAATTGTGAACGTAGAATGTGTTGAAATTTCCTCCACTCCCTTCCAAGTAAGCCAAGAAATTTAGGCTTGCTTTGTAATTTTTTAGGAACTCAGTGGGTCTTCCAGGAGAGAGAGCTCCTGGTTTTCCTTTCTGGATTGCTGATAGAACCTCTCTGAGAACAGAATTGGCCAGAAAGCTGAATACATGTAGACCTGAATTTTCTGCACATAATTTTAAATACAAGAACAAGAAGCAATCATAAAGAAATGTTGAAGTCCAGCTGATCTTGTTATCAAAGAAATAAAAAAATTAAGCAGAAGTCAAGAATTAAGGCATAGATGTTCTTTTAAGAAAATGGGGTTCAAAATGTTTAGTCTAAAATCCTGTGAATTTCAATAATGTATGCACGATTCTACTGGTGCAGCATTGAGGGTTGTGTGCAGATGCAAAAGTCTAATGAGGACTTCATTTTACAGAAACTAACTGCAATAATTTTGCAGAAAGAACCAAAAGGAAAAGAGTTTGATAAAGACAAACTATATGAAGGTTAGAGGTTGTTAAACATATGTAGGCATAAAATGTATGACAGTAGAAGGCAAGAAATCAATCTGGCATCAGTACAAACTACTGATATTACCAGATACCACAGACAAGTGCATGCTAATTTATCCAACTTAAAAGTTCACACCATCTACAATATGATAGTAGCACCCTGAACTACAATGACAAATTAATTGACCGATAAAGATAAAATGAAATTCAATTTTATTAATTCTGCTTCAAGGGCATAGGCCTTTCTGGCATCAACACTGACATGAGTGACGCAGGGATTTTTCTACGAAAAAACATCCTTTTCCCCTCCATTATCCTCATGTTTTCGGTACTTGTTTACTCGTGGACTTAAAGATGAAAAAGGAACGTTTCTTCATGGGAAGTGCAGGCTATTCAAGATCCATATCAGGAAGTGATGATGTGCAGAAATGAATATGCATGTGATTCTATATTTTAAGACAAACCTTAATTTTTCTTCTTTCATGTACTCATGGGTTTGCAGTCTAGTTTCTGTCTACTAGTCCACATATGCATTATAATAACTGGAGTTTTGTTAATTTAATCCTATGGGTTTTTCGTTAATTCTTCTCAGTCCCAGCCCCATATAATCTTACAGTTCCTTTCTCCATTTTTTCACAAAGGCAATTTGATATCATACCAAAAACGGCAACAGCTCTAATCATATGTAAAGCTATAACCGTACAGGATAATCTTTTACATATAAATCACTTCAAAAAAAATTCTCGAGAAAGTCATTTAAATCTAAAATTAATAAGCCACTCTCTTATTTTTCTACAATCGACCCCAATGTACCACCATCTGTCGCTAACCTTAACAGTACCTGCAAACTCTCACAAACCACATGTTCGGGGAGTGAAATAGGATAAATCTACTTTGACAGATAATTTTGACAAAATTACATGTGGAATAAAGTGATTGGATGGAAAAATTGACTTTTTTTTCAAGTCATCCAATGATAGAATGTCACGTAACATTATGTCAACCTTAATGTTCATGTAGTATAATTGAGCAAAATATGATGCATGATACACCCAAAAATCTTTCTTCACACCACCAACCCCAACAAACTAATTATCAATGTAATTCTTTATTTTGTTAACACGGTGTTCCTAGAAAAGATAGATAATGTCATTTCTTCCACGTAATCAAGCGAGGAGTTGTACACATAAACAAAGACAGTTTGATATCACACCAGAAACCTCAGAAGATATCATCTATCATACGGAAAAAAGATTAAATCCCGTACGTCTTCACTATTGGAGGAAAAAATAAAGTACGTTAAATTTGTCCAACTTCACCAATAATCATTACAACTACATTTTCCATCTTCAAAATGGTGAAATCTCTTGGCATCTCGAGCAATGATTAGCCTACCAACTATTGTTGAGATGATCTTCAGTGCATTATGGCAATCGCCACAAACACGAAGATTCTTAATTATTCGCAATTGGGATCGAGCTGGAGAATTCATTAAAGCTTGGGCAATAGCAAGTCTCTCGCTATGAGCCATTAGAGCTTCCTCCTTAGTTTCTTGGTCAACGTCGTGGAGCACAAATCTAGTGTCTGGTATATAACCAACAGCTTTCATATTATTCTTCAGCCCTCCAAGCAATGTGTATATATGTTCATGATTAGGGTGAGATCGGTCACCCGCTCTATACTCAAAGACTGTACTCTTAACATCTAGAGGATTTCGATTACTCAATTTCTTTTTCTCCCCTTCAAGGTCAGAAGCTTTTATTGATATGAGGCCTGCCCTCGATTGATCATCCAATCGTGACGGATCAAGGAGCTCAACAAGCTCAGCACAACGGTCTCCGAGCACCTTATGTCCATGAATTCTGCAAAAATTCATTAATGTCTCCCAAATTTCTATACCTGGCTCGATCGGCATCTGTTCAATGAACTCCAAAGCTTCGTCCAAGCATCCTGCACTTCCAAACATGGCCACTACACTAACATAATGCTCCATGGAGGGAGAAATTCCGTAATCCTTGCTCATTGATTCGAAGTGCAACATTCCTTCAACAATGTCACCTACGATTCCACATGAAGAAAATACCTTAATAAACATTTGGCCATCAGGTTTTAGTCCACATCTTTTGAAATCTGTAAACAATTCAATAGAAGCTTCACCAAAACCATTATTAGCAAGCCAAGATATCATGATTTCCCAAGAAGTCAGGTTACGTTTTGGCATTTGATCAAAGACCACAAAGGCATCATTCACGGAACCACATTTGGAATACATCTCAAGAATCTTATTGTTTATTTTGACTTCAAGATTTGGTGTTGATCTTATGAGGTGCTCATGAACATATTTGGCCTCTTCTAAAGCTTTATTCTCACCACATGCTTCCATCAACATTACATATCGAGGCAAATCAACTGGGAAATGTTGCAGCTCTAGCAATTCTAAAAGTTCTACAGCTTCTTTTAGTTTACCCTCTTTGTAGAATCCATCGAGCAATCCCAAAGGATTTGCTGTTGATTTAATAAAGTGCTCGCTGACAGATTTGACCTCTTGTAAAGCTTTATTCTCAAAACATGCCTTCTTCAACATTACATATCGAGGAAAATCAACTGGGACATGCTGTTGCTCTAGCAACCCTAAATGTTTTACTGCTTCTTTTACTTTTCCCTCCTTGCAGAATTCATCGAGCTTCTTGATATCAGCAACTTCAACCAACCTCTCGTTCTGTTTTAAATCATTAGTTCTTTGAGAAAAAACTGTTCCTCTGTTCTGGGAGTCATTCTGATTCTGCCAATAGTTTCGTGCATTAGAGTAATTAACTTCACTTTCATTTTGATACACTCCGGCACTATGTACACTCTGCTGGTTAATTCCTGTGTTTCCAGCATAATAGCCTCCCAAATTCTTCTTTGATATTCCATGTTGTCCGCTGTAGAAACCACTTGAGCTCTGCTGAGACTGCCCACTCACGGAGTCCCAACCACCTTGAAAAATTCCAGTGTTTCCAGCATAATGGCCTCCTGAATTCTGCTGCGATATTCCATGTTGTCCCCTGGGGAAACCACTTGAGTTCTGCTGAGACTGCCCACTCACGGAATCCAAACCACCTTGAAAAATTTCTGTGTTTCCAGCATAATGACCTCCTAAATTCTGCTGCGATATTCCATATTGTCCCCCGTAGAAACCACTTGAACTCTGTTGAGACTGCCCACTCATGGAATCCAACCCGCCTTGCAACATTCCATACCCACTTGAACTCTGGTGCAACCTTTCACTCATGGATTCTAAACCGCTCTGTCCATAAACTTCACTATGATGTTTCTTTAAAGTTCCCAAACCATCTGACTCGACCTCATTAGAACCAATAACTTGGTTAAAATCATCTCCATTCACATAATTAGCATTGTAAAAATCCGATATTTCAGTAGCAGTGCTGAGGTTCCTAGCAAAAGGAAGGGGCTTTATGGATTCCATGAAACAACGGGATCTTGTATCACATACCTTCAACAAATTCCTGAGAGAGAAGAAGGTGACAACTGTTGCTCTTTTGCTGTACATCCCTGAGCAGACTCGTCAGGTACAACTTAGCTAGTCAAAATACCAACAGTCACAATATTAACTTTTTTTTATCTCAATTAAACCACAATCCATTTAACTTTAAAATAATTATAATAATAACAATTCAAAAAGGGGTAATAAAAAAAACGACTAAATTCCTAAATCCAAAATATTATCGAAAAACCAAAAATAGCACCAAATTCATTGCAGAAAAGGGAAAAGGTTAAATCAAGTAAAGAAATGGAAGAGAAATAGAAGTTACCTTGCAGGGAGATGAGAACTTATGTGAGAAAAAATGAATTGAATTAAGGGTTGGAGACAAGGTAAACAAGAAGTGTAGGAGCAGTGACGGAACCAATAACTCAGGCCAACTAGGGCGGTCGTAGACCATTGACCGTCGAAAGTCAACCACTGTAATAGCGATGTCATTTATTAATTAATTAAATAATATGAAAAATTCTCCAATCTATATGTAAATACACTACAATAACATAAAAATCATATACATATCAAAATATAATTCAATACAACCCAAAATCCCAAATTTAACATTTAAATGATAATAACATTACACAACGATTGCATATAAATCTAACCACAGCCAGTCAACTAGTCCAATTGCAATTAATCTAATTTTCTTAATTAAATAAATCAAATTATAACTAAAATCAATCTCTTCACAAACCCTAAAGTGCAAAGATACAATTTTTTTTATCATTTAAGAAATAAGACAATGCGATAAAATTACCGACAGAGGCGGCGTGTGCGGTGCGTTCGTCACTGGAACTGAGTGGCGAGTGACGACGGCGGGTGGGAAAAATCGGGAATCCTCGAGTCGGAGTCTAGGTAGAAGAATAGGATTTCGAATTCCCTGGTGTCTCGAGTCTCAGATTGGGCTTTTTGAAAATGAGACATTGCAATGTCGTGACTTCTTCAGACTTCGGCCAATGGATGTATTTGTTGTGATTTTGGGCAGTTATCAAAGTTTGGTTTTTCTATTAATGGGCCACATTTTCAAAACAAAGGCCCATTCTTCGCCTAGGCACATGGGAGGAGAAGCCTAACTCAAATTTCATACTTCTTTTAAATTTTGAACTAAAAATTTGTGTACAGAAAATCTTAAAACGTGCCATCAGTTAGGATAAAAAGGTCTGTCGAAAATCGTTTATTAAAAACTTGTTTACATTTTCATCAAAATGTTCAATTTGTCATCTCTTGATCATGAATTTCCTATGACAGTGGAATGATCCTATTTTGATCTTAATCTTAACACGCTTTATCGAAAATTTAATAAAGTATTTGTTGACTCAATTGTGAATGTACATTGGTTTTTGAGTTATATCATTGAACTAACTCAAGTTTAATGGAAATTTTTATCTTGAAATGCAACCTTGTTTTATAAATATGTCTTGTTTTAGATATTTGAACTTGTTCATAATATATAAAAAAATGTAATGGTTCACATCGATGTCAAAGGCACATAATAAAATGTATTGAACATATTTATGTAGTTCACCTTTGTCGCAAATTTGTGCAACATCCGCACACCCCTTTGCGTGTAAAATAATATTAGACTGTGAAAATGTTAATTTCTTATTTGTTAGTGCTTGTAAGTTGTGGATTGTGTAAGGTTGGATAATAAGTATTAAGACACGGGTCTTACAAACTGTGTATATAAAAAACATATTTCACCGAATTAAATTATAATTTAGGCTATGCCAAATTTGCCCTTGGAGCATGTTTGGGTTGGGATAAATTTTAATTGAACTGATCAAACATATTTTGTGTCCAAACATTTTGTAGGACCCATAGCTAATAAGCAGTAATAAAATACCAAACACACACCCAGCCATACACCAGCAAAGTAGAGCTTAAATGAAATGCAGGAACTGAAACCATAATTAGCATTTCTTATTGCTCGAATTCAAAAATAGTAACAAAGAAGAGCAGAAAAATATATGCAGGGGGTCGGATATTTTTTCTTTTAACATTTACACTATCGATAGCTTAAACTTCCTATTTGAAGGAACTGAGATGGGGTAACAAAACAAAGGCAGATAAGCCATAAATTGACTTGAGAGGCGATTCTACCCTTACACCATCTCGAAAAACTAAGATACCAGTATAACTTAAGAACCAATGCATCATTGTACAGTGCAACAATATTGCAGCAAACAGGAAGAATTTGTACAGATGAATACACGGATTTACATGAAGTAGCTAAGGAATTTCTTCCGTCTGGAGCCCCCTCCTCCATAAAGTTCGTTCCATTGAAGAAGTTCAGTCATGTTTACAGACTCTGACGAAACACTCGCACAAACCTGCACCCATGAGAGGAAAATGAAAATTCGGAAGTTTAGTGTATAGATTGTAGAAATTGGGTTGCCGCCATTTGTGAAGCCCAAGTTAATATCCAACAGCCTATGACCCGGTTAAATGGCCCAACTGGTAGAATTATGTGGAAGCTTAATTGAACAAAAGAAAAACACGCTTTCTGTTTGGAGAAAAAAATGACTCTCACATGATTGTGACACCTGGCAGTCGCTGGACCACTGGATCAAATGAATTGATTATTTCATATAAAAGGGATCAACAATTCTAGGGTTAGTGTTGGCTCTCATTTTACGCAGCTTTCGTTTTCTTTTCGTTTTGAGTTGAAAAATCTCTCTCTGTATTTGTTGGCTCTCTTGTCTTGAATCTGGTTGATTCCTTTAGTTGGTTGAGAGTAGATGTGATGCTATGAACTCTTGTGTGAGTTCTTTGTATTGTAGAGGAGACTGTTGTCGTGGTGACTGGAACTGTGTGTTCCTTCTGTGATTCGAAAACTGCTGTAATTTTGGCCGGTGTGTTTTGTTCTAGTGGATTCGAGCTTATTCTTTTGTGGATGCTCACGGGGATTAGGCGATTTTGACAAATCGCTGAACCTCGGGGCTTCGGCCAAAAATCGCTTGTGTTTCTCTTTACTGTTTTCAGATCTACAAATCTTGATCTTTAGTCTTGCAAATTTTGATGCTTTGAAACGGTTCTAGGGTTCCTACAGTGGTATCAGAGCTCAGAGTATTTTTACTTTAGCTATTTTTTTTGGTTCCCATTTAATTGAGGGTTTGAAATCATCTCACTGGCCAAAAAGAAAAATAGGCAGATTTTTTTTCAAGATCTGCCAACATTAAATTTTTTTTTCGTTTTAAAATTTTTCTTTTCTTTGAGTAACACTGAAATAATTTTTGAGAGGGCATAGCAAGTGTGATGTCGTTTTCTCTTTGAGATACTCAAGTGTTCTTGTTGACTGTTGTATTTCCTTTACTTCGTTTGGTGTTGAACTTCGTATACAATTGTGTATTTGTAAATGATGCAGTATAGTGATAATTTTTGGTATACGGTAAGCCGTAACTAACCTGTTCTTGGTGAAATTAAAGACTTATCTTGTCTGGTTTTTCTGGTACCTGCAGCCTGTAGACACTAAATTTTGTGATCAAATTAGTTTTGTATTGAATAGTTGGTACACTTATTTTTGGGAAGTATTACTTTGGTAATAAAACCATTTTTCAAACAAGAGATTCTCTGAACCTCCTCTAGCTCTACCTCTGTCTAGGGTTCCCTGAGAGAACCCTAGAAACTTTGGGGACTAGGGTTTCGGTTCAAGAAATCTGAAATCTTCAAAAACTGCTTTCTTAAAATCTCACCGTGAGTTGAAAATCAAATCCAAATCATATTTTCGATTGATAAATTGTTGTACAATCTATGTGAATTGTGCTAACACTCAACTTGATCTTCTCAGGTGTTAACGTCAAAGTTTAATGCTTCAAAGGTACATACATTGCACTTACAATTTTTGGTAACTTACTGTGTGTAAGTTTATGAAATTAAATTCATAGCATGCTTAGTGTATTTTGAATATCTGAATGTGTTTTACTTTGGTTGCAATAATTCTGTACACATCACAATAAAGCACAGTCCACATATAATCTGAAATTGGAATAATAAGACAGTGAACTTTGTAACACACTGTTGACTAAATAATCATTGAGATATATTTGTTTTATCATAATTTGTGAACAATTTCACACTCCTGCACAATATGAACTCTAAGGTAGATGTCCAAATGTGGGATGGCAAAGTAGACTTTAGTCTCTGGCGTCAAAAATTAAAGCACTATTGTTACAGTTAAAATGTGCTAAGGCTATTGATGAATCTTGGCCAGAAACCTTATCTGAAACTAGGAAAACTGAGCAAGATGAATTAGCCTGCAGCACTTTGTTCCTACACCTGTCTGATACTGTAATTAGGAAAGTAGGAGAAACTAAAACTGCTGAAGAATTATGGACTGCCTTAGAAAAATACTACCTTACAAAAACTGTGCCAAATAAATGTTTTCTTTGGAGACAATTTTTTAGTTTTAAGTTTGATCCTAACCTTGATACAGGAGATAATATGGATAGGTTTAATAGGATCACACAGGACTTAGCAAACTGTGATGAGAAAATTTCTGATGAACAGAAGGTAGTTGGCCTACTTAATGCTCTAGGAGATAAATATAAAGATATTAGAAATGCTCTAGAGTATGGTAGGAGTGATCTCGCTGTTGAAATAATTCACAGTTCTCTTATGAATAAAGAACTTGAATTAAAATCTAAACACAAAGAAGTGTACCATGTTGAGGGTATGTCATCAAATTAAAAACCATATCCTAAAGGAGTAAGTAACTTCAGTCATTCCAATTTTAACAGAAATAAAACATTTAACAAAAGACAGTGGAATAACACCAAAGGAAAAGGCAAGAAACCAATCAAAGAAAAACAAAACAGCAACAATAACAGAAAATGCTTTGATTGTGGAAAGACAGGCCACTTTATTAAAGACTGTTTTAAAAGGGCAAATGACCAAAAGAATGGGTCTAACACTGAAAATGCTTCTTTAGCTGCTGCTGCTAATTATAAAGAAGCAGGAGCTAATATTGGAGTAGCCTATGTATCTCTATCTGAAGATACTGATCAGGACTGGGTCCTGGATTCTGTTTATTTCATATGACACCCAATATTAACTGCATTTCAGATTTTTGTAGTCTGGATGGAGGATTTGTAAAACTTGGGAATGATGAGTCATGCCAAGTTAAGAGAATTGGAAATGTGCTGTTGAAATTTAAAAATGGTCATCACATGTTATTAAAACATACAAGATATGTACCAGCACTTAGAAGAAATCTCATATCCCTAGGAGTTCTTGATGATGAAAATTATCAAATTGGTATTAAGAATGGCTTTACAAATATAATAAGAAATCAAGAACACATTATCAGTTCTCCTAAGCTTAATGGAATCTATGTAATAGGTGCTGAAACCATTTCACCAAAAAATTCTGTGAACCCTATCACACAACCCGATAAATCAGAACTGTGGCATAAAAGACTTGGCCACTTAAGTGAAAAATGTTTAAAAACATTATCATGTCAAGGGGCATTTGGAAAAGACAGTGTTCAGAAATTGACCTTCTGTGAACACTGTATCTTGGAAAAACATGTAAGACTGCATTTTAAGGCTGGACTGCACAAATTCTAAGATGTCTTTGAATACATACATTTTGATTTATGGGGATCAGCACCTGTTTCCATTGTATCTGTTTACAGATATTATCTTCTTGCAACTGATGACTATTTAAGAAAGACATGGATTTTCTTACTAAAGTCTAAATCTGATACTTTTGCAATTTTTAAAGAATGGAGTGTTCTAATTGAAAATCAGATTGGTAAGAAGATAAAAATTTTAAGAACTGATAATGGCCTTGAATTCTGTAATACAGAATTTGACCATTATTGCAGTAAACAAGGGATAATGAGACATAAGACTGTGAGCTATACTCCACAACAGAATGGAGTTGCTGAGAGGCTTAATAGGACAATTCTTGAAAGGACCATATGTGTGCTAATCAGTTCTGGCCTTCCAAAAATTTTCTGGGGTGAAGTTGTAAAAATAGCTTGTTATCTTATAAATAGATGCCCCTCCAGCTCTCTAAATAACATAATTCCCCAACAAATCTGGTCTGGTTCAATGCCAGATTACTCTCATCTAAAAACTTTTGGATGTGCAGCCTATGCACATCACACTGAGACAAAATTGGACCCTAGATCATTGAAGGGTGTGTTCTTAGGATATGGAGAAGGTGTTAAAGGCTATAGATTGTGTTTAAGAGATGTAAGGGATTATAAGGTGATAACAAGTAGATCTGTTATCTTTAATGAAGATGATTTTCCTTGTCTTAGTGACAAATCTAGTAAGAAATTGGGAAAGGATGACTTCATTATCACAGAAATTAATTTTGATAACAACAATACTGATGACCAGGCTCAGCTTGAGGTGGAGCCACATCAGGTTGTACCCCAAAATAACTCTGATGCTGAAATAATTGAAGATGAACAGCATCTAAAGCCTGCAGGTGATTTGCAGGGCTACCAACTTGTTAGGGACAGAGAAAGGAGGGAAATAAGACCTCCAACCAGGTATCAACATGCTGATTTCGTATCAGATCAGACTGAATCAGATCAGTTTGACTTAGAACCAGCCTCTTATGAAGAGGCTATATCTTCCAAAGAATCTCCGAAGTGGATTGCTGCGATGGAAGATGAAATGAACTCACTCTTTAAGAATGAAACTTGGACTTTAGTTGAAAAACCCAAAGATTGTAAGTTGATTGACTGTAAATGAGTTTATAAGATTAAAGAGGGTGAGACAAAGGTTAGTGATAAGAGGTTTAAGGCAAGACTTGTATCTAAAGGCTTTAATCAGAGGGAAGAGATAGATTACAATGAAATTTTTTCATCGGTTGTTAAATATACATCCATTAGAGTCCTACTTGCTATAGTGACACAATTTGATTTGGAGTTAGAACAACTTGATGTGAAAATTGCCTTCCTGTATGGTTCTTTAGATGAAACCATACATATGACTCAACCAAGAGGGTTGAAGTGGTAGGAAAGGGAAACTTAGTGTGTCTCTTAAAGAAATCCTTATATGGCTTAAAACAGGCCCCTAGGCAGTGGTATAAAAGATTTGACTCTTTTATACAAGGCTTGAACTTTAGGAAATCAGAATATGATCCCTGTTTCTATTATAAGAAAGAAGGGGAATCTGATTTTTTCTATCTGCTTTTGTATGTTGATGATATGCTCCTTGCTGGTCACAATTCTGTTGCACTAAATTCAATTAAAGAAAATCTGAAATCTGAATTTGAGATGAAAGATTTAGGACCAGCTAGAAAGATTTTGGGTATGGAAATAAAAAGAGATAGGTTAAATGGAAAGTTGTTTCTAAAACAAAAATCTTATATTGATAAGGTTGTAAAAAGGTTCTCACTTCATGAGTCTAAGCCTGTCAGTTTGCCTCTATCTGTTGGTATGAAACTATCTGTTGATCAATCACCTAAAACTGAATAAGAGCATAAGAGAATGATAAATGTGCCTTACTCTAATGCTGTTGGATCTGTAATATATGTTATGGTTTGCTCTAGACCTGATATTGCTTATGCCGTGAGCGTGTTAAATAGATTCATGAGTAACCCAGGTGAAATACATTGGCAATGTATCAAAAATCTGATTAAGTACTTGAAAGGAACAAGTAACTTAGGTCTAATGTTCAAAACAAATAAAAATGGACTTAGACTTAAGGGATATGTAGATTCAGATTTTGCTGGTAATCCAGACAATAGGAAGTCCACAACTGCATACTTTTATGTGATAAATGATACATGCATTAGCTGGAAATCTCAGCTTCAAAAACTTGTTGCATTGTCCTCAACCGAGGCTGAATATATTGCTGCAACGGAAGCTGTGAAAAAGGGTTTGTGGCTGAAGGGTTTGCTTAATGAATTTGGTCTTATAAAAAATCAGGTGGAGTTATTTTCAGACAACCAAAGTACTATCTTTTTAAGTAAAAATCCTATCCTGCATGATAGATCAAAGCATATAGATGTAAAATTCCATTTTATTAGAGATATCATTGATAGGAGTGATATTAGATTGATCAAAATACCTACAAAGGTAAATCCAGCAGGTGCTGGAACTAAGGTAATCCCTATTAGTAAGTTTCTTGATTCTTTAAGATTAATAAATCTTGAAGAAGACTGATTCTAGTTAATATTGTTTTTACAGCTAATAAGAGCAAATGAAATGAAGTTGAGTTTTGAATCCACAAGAACATGCACAAAAGACAGCAAAGGTGGAGAATGTGAAATTGGGTTGCTGCCATTTGTGAAGCCCAAGTTAATATCCAACAGCCCATGACTCGGTTAAATGGCCCAACTGGTAGAATTATCTGGAAGCTTAATTGAACAAAGGAAAAACACGCTTTCTGTTTTGAGAAAAAAACGACTCTCACATGATTGTGACACCTGGCAGTCGCTGGACCATTGGATCAAATGAATTGATTATTTCATATAAAAGGGATCAACAATTCTAGGGTTAGTGTTGGCTCTCATTTTACGCAGCTTTCGTTTTCTTTTCGTTTTGAGTTGAAAAATCTCTCTCTGTATTTGTTGGCTCTCTTGTCTTGAATCTGGTTGATTCCTTTAGTTGGTTGAGAGTAGATGTGATGCTATGAACTCTTGTGTGAGTTTTTTGTATTGTAGAGGAGATTGTTGTCGTGGTGACTGGAACTGTGTGTTCCTTCTGTGATTCGAAAACTACTGTAATTTTGGCCGGTGTGTTTTGTTCTAGTGGATTCGAGCTTATTCCTTCGTAGATGCTCAACGGGGATTAGGCGATTTTGACAAATCGCTGAACCTCGAGGCTTCGGCCAAAAATCGCTTGTGTTTCTCTTTACTGTTTTCAGATCTACAAACCTTGATCTTTAGTCTTGCGATTTTTGATGCTTTGAAACGGTTCTAGGGTTCCTACATAGACCACCTAGATAAATAGAATATTATGTATAATTCTTGAGAATATCTTCACACCTGCTCGTGAGCAAATCTGAAGTCATCCGTGCTTAATGGCCGAATATCAGCACTCCCACATAAGTCTGGTGGTGGTTTACCGTCAGCAAGAGCAGCGGCTTGCTCCTAACATTAGCACCAAAGTATATAGTTAGTTTATGAAACTAAAGATCATGCCATATGTTAGGAACGATGAGTGCAGAATGTCAGAGGAAAGTGACCTGGCTAAAATGCTCAGAAAAGCCACAATTAGTTGGTTATTAGGGCATTTAGCAGGACTTCTCTTACTTCAACTACTAGTAAAAGAACTTCTTGAAGAAGCCACCTTGAGTCAACTTCCTCTAAAAGCTCTTCTAACTAGCAAAGGACTTTCTGTAAATTATCCAGGTCCAAAAGCAACTTTGCCTCAAAAGCAGCTTTTGGTTTTCCAAAAGCCCTTCCAAATGGGCCCTAGAGAAACCATGATTGGAAACTTTAGAAATAGGCCACATGTGATAACATTTACGTTGCTTGATGAAACCCCAAAAATGAAAGACGGGAAATAGAAACTGATTTTAATTTTCTCATGGCATCCACAATTGACACCTAATATTATTCGATTTTCTCAATATTAATTAGCAGCAACTACTCGTACCGAATACAGGAACATACCCTTTTCTCTTTTTCCAGAATCTCTCTGATTGGGCGATGTGCAGCTTTCACACATAAGTTCTACAATGAAAAGAATTTAACTTGCATAAATAGCTAATGCTACAAAGTTGTGATACAACATAAGCCCAAAAATCAAACCTTTAGGTCACTTCCAGAATACTCATCAGTCATGTTTGCAATTGAATCTAGATCAACATCGGAAGACAAATCCTCTTTGGCCAATATCACTTTTAGGATATTTTCCCTATTAGCAGCATCTGGTAAGTTGACCATCAATCTATGGACAACACAAAATAGAAACACCAAGTTAGAGATAATGGATGCTTTGTGATTACAATTGAGTTTTAGACAATTTATGAGCCAAATAAACTAAATTAATTAATAAAGTTCAGCAAAATAAATTCACCAGAACATTAATTTTCTTGCCTCTATGCCAGATTCTTGGTTGCCATCAAGATGGAGGATCTTGCTGGATGCTCCAACATTAGCAGCTGCTTCAGAGCCTGTCTTTGTAGCCGAATTGACTTCTTGGCCATCAAGCTCATCTTCATGTAGAACAGGGGAAGAATGTAGTTCACTCCCTCCATACTTTTTACCACATGCCAGAGATGCAGCCTTAATTGGAGACAAATTGTGCCGTAAATTTGAAAGCGGTGCCAAAATTGAAGCATCAAATACAACTGACACATCTCCTGCTCGTCTTTCAACATGTATCAACTTTCATTTGTTATTCTGACCATCTGGTGGAGGCATCTTTATTATATGCTCATAATTTAGCTACTGAAAAATCTATATAGATAGGCATTGAGGACATACCACATATACAAAACAGTAGAAAATAGAACTTCAATGTTAAAATGCAGAAATAGGCAGGCAACAGTGTCGCATATATGAGAAGGATACTGTAGAAATTGGGTTGCTATTTTTGTGAAGTCCAACCCATTTACGTCCAAAGCTGGCCCAACCCATGACCCAGTTTAATGGCCCAGAAGACAGAAGAATCTGGAAGCTGAAATTGATTTAAAACAAAATGCGTTTTTTTGTTGAGTAATAACAACTTTCATCAGATCTCGACATGGGGCGACTGCTGGACCATTAGATCAAACAATTAGCTTCTCCCATACAAAAGAAGCTAAAAAGTCTAGGGTTTGGGACTTTTTCATTTTACGCGTAGCTTCTTTGAGTTTAGAAATTCTCTCTGTAATTTTTAGTTCTCTCTTCTTAGATCTTTTCGATCTTCTGTTGTTGGTTGAGAGAAAGTGTGATTTAATGAACTCTTGTGTGAGTTCATGTGTTGTTGAGGGATTTTGTTGTGCTGTGGCTGGAACTGTGTGTTCCATTTGTAACTCGAAGTTTGTTGTGTTTTTGGGCCGGTGATTTTAGTGGATTCGAGCTTATTCTTTTATGATGCTCAACGGGGACTAGGCACTCTAACAATCGCTGAACCTCAGGGCTTCGACCAAAAAATCGTTTGTGTTCTTTATTGTTTCGTTCAGATCTTCAAATCTTGATTTTAGCTTTGCGATTTTTCGATATTTTCTAAACGTTCCTAGATACCTACAGTGGTATCAGAGCTTGGAAATAGTTTTTTTTTTCAGTCCCCTTTAGTGGAGGGTCTGAAACTCGAGTCACCAGCCGAAAGGAAAATGGTAAGTCTTGAAAGATCTGCCAGCATATTTTTTTTACAGATTCGCGTAATACTGAGATATTTCTTGGCATCGTTGAGTGTGCCTCTTTTAACTCTGCAGTATTAGTGTGGGTGTCGAATTTTTTTTAAAGAAATCGAAGCTTCTTGGTTGGTTTTGGAGTTCTCATAACCCCGGTTGGTGCTATTTTAAAAATAGACAGAAATTCTTGGTACTGTTGGTGTTGATCTCCTGCAGTGTTGGTGTTGATCTTCTTTTTATAAAATAAACAGAGTCTTCGTGTATTCTGTAAATTCTACAGTGTTGGTGACAACTTTGAGTATATTGTGAGCTATACAGTGGTTTGCTGGGTAACCCTGGCAAAATTCATAGACGGTTTTCTTGTAGTATTGTGTTAACTTCAGTATTAAGGAGACTTTGTTCTTGTGATATAATCACACGGTTTTTGTAGTGTTGGTACCTGTAGTTCGTGGAAGTATTATTTTTGGTAATAAAATTGTGTTTCAAACTTAGGGTTCCATTGAACCTCCCCTAAATCTACCTGTGTCTAGGGTTCCCTGAGAGAATCCTAGAATCTTTGGGGATTAGGGCTTTAATTCAAGAAACCTGTAATTTCTAAAACTGTTTTTGAAATTTTTCACTGTGTGTGGATAATAAAACCAAAAATTATATTTTCATAGTTCAATTGTCGTACATTCTGTGTGAATTCTACTAATACTCAAATTGATCTTTTCAGGTGTTGAACTGTCTGAGAATAATCGCTTCAAAGGTACATACATTGCACTTACTCCTTTGGTAGTTTATTGTGTGTGTAAGTTTATGTGTTTGGATTCCATTGCATGTTTGGTGATCTGTATATTAACTGTGCCTTAATCTGTGTGATATATTTCTGTACACATCATACCTAATCACAACCTATACATAATCTGAAATTGGAATAATAAGACGTTGATCTTTGTGACATACTGTTGACTGAATTACAATTGTGATATACCTGTTTTTATCATACTTGTTAACAATTTCACACTATTGCACACCATGAACTCTAAGGTAGATGTCCAAATTTTGGATGGCAAATGAGAATTTAGTCTCTGGCGTCAGAAAATAAAAGCACTCATGTTACAGTTAAAATGTGCTAAGGCCATTGATGAATCTTGGCCAAAAACCTTATCTGAAGCTAGGAAAACTGAACAAGGTGAACTGCCTGGAGTACCTTATTTCTGCACTTATATGATTCTATGATTAGGAAAGTAGGAGAAACTAAAACTGCTGTAGAATTGTGGACTGCCTTAGAAAAACACTACCTCACTAAGATTGTACCAAACAAATGTTTTCTTTGGAGACAGTTCTTTAGTTTTAAGTTTGATCCTAATCTTGACACGGGAGATAATATGGATAGATTTAATAGGATCATACAAGACTTAGCAAATTGTGATGAGGAAATTCTGACGAACAGAAGGTAGTTGGCTTGCTTAATGCTCTAGGAGATAAATATAAAGACATAAGAAATGCTCTAGAGTATGGCAGGAGTGATCTCACTGTTGAAATAATTCACAGTTCTCTTCTGAACAAAGAACTTGAATTAAAATCTGAACACAAAGAAGTGTTCCATGTTGAGGGTGTGTCATCAAATAAAAAATCACATGTTAAATGTGTAAGTAACTTCGGTCATTCCAATTTTAACAAGAATAAAATTTTTAGCAAAAGGCAATGGAATAATAACAAAGGAAAGGGCAAGAAACCAATTAAAGGAAAAGTGAACAGCAATAGTAACAGAAAATGTTTTTTCTATGGAAAAACTGGTCACTTTATTAAAGACAATTTTAAAAAGGCAAATGACCAAAGAATGGGTCTAATACTAAAAATGGTTCTTTAGCAGTTGTTGCTAATTATAAAGAAGCAGGAGCCAATATTGAAGTTGTCTATGTGTCTCTATTTGAAAATACTGATCAGGACTGGGTCCTAGATTCAGGTTGTTCCTTTCATATGACACCCAATATTGGTTACATTTCAGACTTTTGTAGTCTGAATGGTGGATTTGTAAAACTTGGGAATGATGAGTCATGCCAAGTGAAGGGAATTGGAAATGTGCTGCTGAAATTTGAAAATGGCCATCACATGTTGTTAAAACATACAAGATATGTACCAGCACTTAGAAGAAATCTCATATCCTAAGGAGTTCTTGATGATTAAAATTACCAAATTGGTGTTAAAAATGGCTCTACAAATATAACAAGAAATCAAGAAATTATTGTCAATTTTCCCAAGCTCAATGGAATTTATGTAATAGGTGCTGAAATAATTTCACCTAAAAATTTTGTGAATTTTATCACACATCCCGATAAATTAGAATTGTAGCATAAAAGACTTGACCATTTAAGTGAAAAATATTTAAAAACTCTATCATATCAAGGGGCAGTTGGGAAGGATAGTGTTCAAAAATTGACTTTTTGCGAACACTGTATAATGGGAAAATAAGTCAGATTGCCTTTTAAGGCAGTGCTGCACAAATCCCAAGATGTCTTTGAATACATACATTCTGATTTATGGGGACCTACATTTGTTTCTATTGTATCTGGTTATAGATATTATCTTCTTACAACTGATGACTATTCAAGGGAAACATGGATTTTCTTATTAAAATCTAAATCTGATACCTTTCCAATTTTCAAAGAATGGAATGTACTAATTGAAAATCAGACTGGTAGAAGATAAAAATTTTAAGAACTAACAATGGGCTTGAATTTTGCAATACCGAATTTGATCAATATTGATGTAAATAAGGGATAATGAGACATAAAACTGTGAGTTATACCCCTACAACAAAATGGGGTTGTCGAGAGGTTA